CAGTAGATCTCCAGGAAGAGGGTTGGACTGAAAACCTACAGGACAGTAGATCTCCAGGAAGAGGGTTGGACTGAAAACCTACAGGACAATAGATCTCCAGGAAGAGGGTTGGACTGAAAACCTACAGGACAGTAGATCTCCAGGAAGAGGGTTGGACTGAAAACCTACAGGACAGTAGATCTCCAGGAAGAGGGTTGGACTGAAAACCTACAGGACAGTAGATCTCCAGGAAGAGGGTTGGACTGAAAACCTACAGGACAGTAGATCTCCAGGAAGAGGGTTGGACTGAAAACCTACAGGACAGTAGATCTCCAGGAAGAGGGTTGAGCAGCACTGGTCTAAGGGATCCTATAGTCTAGAGCAGGATTTCCCAAACTCGGTCCTGGGGACCCCAAGTGGTGCACGTTTTGGTTTTTGCCCTAGCACTACACAGCTGATTCAAATAATCAACTCCTCATCAAGCTTTGATTATTAGTATCAGCTGTGTAGTGCTATGGCAAAAACCGAAACTTGCACCCCTGGGGGGGGTTCCCTGGATCGAGTTTGGGAAACACTGTTCTAGAGAATATATGCTGTGTTCTCCATCCTTCACTAGTTGTTAATAATGACAGGCTGATCATTTTTACTACATTCTATTTCCATAAATGCCACTCCAAAAATTACTTTCCACGCCAGCCTCACTCAGAACAAACCTTAAGTGGGCTCAACACTTAAACCACCATTTCCTACCCTTAGAGTGTGTGTGGTGGCATTACATTTGTATATGTATAAAATCACATAATGGAGGCAGTATAACAGGACTTGTTTAATTCTATTTTTACCAGATTAAATAATAAGTGGCGCGAGAGTCGTATGGTTTGGCATATTTATTTATACATTACATTCCTCAAAACCCTGGGGGAGCTAAAAGCAGCAGCGACGTGCACGTCTATCCGCGTGCGTTCGCGAGCAAAGAACTGGGTTTTTCAATAAGGCCTTGATTCTCAAATCACCTCCCGAACGAGGCTGAGTTTTAATTTGACCTCGTCATAAGCTAATAAAGAGCGAACGAGTCCTTGTAGGCTATTGTGTGTGTGATGTTAAGCTTTATTGCCTGTCCTCCTTGACCAGAATGGCGGCGCTGAGCAAAGCGTCGCACAAGGCCTTCTTTGATGAGGGAATTAGCGGCCTATTCTGTCCCTATTATTCATAGCGCGGTGGAACATGTAAGTACCAGGAAGGGTGTCAAAAGGAGAACCGGTCCTATTGCAGAGTATCCCCCTTGTTCGGCCTGAAAGGGTGGCTATGAGATGATAAACCGCTTAATACAGCCGGCTAATTGGATGAGAGCGAAGGAGAGCGGAGGGAATTAAGGGGAAAGGAACCAGTGCCAGAGGCCTCGCTATTCACTCCTTTTATTCACCTCCATCTCATCTCTCTCCCAACCTCCTCTCATCAGTCTGCGTCGCTAGTCCGAGGGGGAGGCGAGGTGGCTTCATCAAAGGGGCTTTAAGAGAGCCTCTCCCGGGGACGAAGTGAGCCGGGTGTGGAGAGGAGTGATTGGAGCTATTCTCTCGGAAGGGCTCGCTGGGATATGGATGTCCTGGAGAAGCGGAAATCAGCGGTCAAATCAGTCCTGCGGAGAGAGCAGGGTGATGAAAATGGGTGCGTCATTGTGGAGAGCAATTTTAGACATCTAATAGGCAACCTTTATAAGAAGATTGTGGTCATGTCTATAGTCTCTTTTTTCACTCAAAGAAATTGCCTCTATTTGAAAATGTAAATTAATTATATTCAGACACTATTCATAGACCTATCTTCAAAGGGAATTTTCAGTATGCGATTTGTAGACCTAGCCTTTGGCCAATTCAAAGTCGTTTGAATCTCAGAGCCTATGCCCTATATCCAATCTACAGGCCATCAGGCTATGCCAAGGCTACAACTTATTGTGCGCGCACCCAACAACAAGTGAGAATTCATAGCACCCAGAACGCGCGCGCCCGTGGCCACGACAACTCATTTCAATATTGTCGCTCTGATAAGAAAGTGAAAGCCTCGAGCGCAGCGGGTTACCCGCCTCCTGCAAAGCCCCAGGCATTCCCGAGATATTAGGGGCAAATTGGTTTGCCATTCATTAGTAATGTTCACAATAAGATTAAAGCGCCCCGGACAATCTCATATATAATCATTTTTTCCATAGAAGGAGAATTGTTAAAACACTCAGAGTTCACGTAGAAGGGGAGGGTTTGGGCACACAGGAGAAAATTGGTTTCTTAGTTTTTTTTCAGTCTTTCTTTTGCATAATGTTCCTTTGAACGCAGAGAACGAGTGTGAGGTTGTCATGCGTGCTTGGCCAGTGAGACGGCGCGTAATGCTGGCGGGTGCCAAGGGGTGTCCTTAGCGCACGGTATGGGAATATTAAGTGTCGAATTAGGACTGATCCAGCTGGAGAAAGTTGAGAGAATTTCTCTCTCTCCCTCTCTCGCTCACTCCCTCTCCCTCTCTAGTTCTCTCTCTCCCTCTAGCTATCTCTCCCCCCCCACACACACACACACACACCATCTCCATATTTGATTGCTTTATTATTCGCATCCATGTGATCTGATGTCATTCTGTCTCGGATTAGCAGGTGTATAAAACAAGGCTGGAGAAAGAAAGGTTTTCACCAGAGCGAGACTATAAAAGCGGACTAAATTAATCCGAGAGGTAATTTCACGCGCTTTGGTCCGATACCATGGACGGGTCAAACGAACGAGAATTACTTCCGTGAAAGGAAGCGCATTGATGGCGCGTAATAAGACCCTTTATAGGGATTTTGGGAATTAAGTCGTGGATAGAGAGAGGGAGGGAGGGAGGGGGGCTTTAGAGCAAGTCTTTATGATAAAGTATTTGTTACTTCATTAATGACAAAGGGACTCGCTTCCATCGACATGGCATTACAGATGTTAACACCAATTTAGCGCCTTTAAAACGCGTTTTGTAAAGAGGGCCCCGGATAAAGTGGGCGATCTAATTGAAAACCCCTCGCCTTTGTCGCCCGTTTCACATGTGGGGAATTTGCTCATGAATATATGGGTCTGTATTTCGTCAACTCGGCTGGAGAGAACAGACGCACACAGCGGCCTAGAATTATATCCGTCATTACTGCAGCTAATCTATTTTCTCTTTCAGTTCGCCTGTTCAGTGTGGCCAGCCACCACACAAAATATACCGGTAGCACTATACTCCTTTTCTCAGCTCCTCACACTCACAACTGAATTCCCCTCTGGTGAGCCTCTCTTTTTAAATTCATTTGGAAAACAATTAAGATGCATTTTGGACCTAATTCCAAACTACTTTTCAAATTTGACGTGAATGTTAAATACTATTAACATAATTCAACTAAGTCCTCAAGTAGATAATGAATCACTTATAATAAAGGTTAATTCGATATGAAATGCTAGTGGGTCAGAATATTAATCTAAAAATTAAACGTTATCAAAAATGCAATTCCACGTTAAATCGTAAAAACAACCATTAGAGCCACTCTTTATGCTATAACTGTACAATTCATATCCAAGCATAGAACGGAATCATACAATTATTTTGATTTGAAGCATTCATTAGCCGAGGCCTATATAATTTCTAAATTAGACATAAAACATCAGTTTCTTCATAACAATTTTATTAATAGTTCTATAATTCTATTTCACATGTTTAAAATTCCTGGCTTTTGTCAGTTCTATAATGGGTTGAAATAATAATCTAAGGAATATTTAATTTCACCACTCATTTATTCAATTATGTTTTTTTCTATCTATTATTAAACCAGGAAATTTACAATCAATTTAACAATAAAATAAAAAAAATCCTGCCCTGTTGGGAACATTTTCACTCTGGGAAACATTTTACATGACACCCTGCACTCAATCTGTTGGGGAACAGTTTCGACATAAATGATAATGTAAAAACCTATGATAGCTCATCACCACTGGGGAATTCTACACAGGGCCACATCTATGCCCATAAAACACTACACCAAGTGCAACTTCTCAAACATGGTCTCTTTTCAAATATACAAGGCTCTGTTTCGAAAAAGTATAATTTTTTTTCTTAGTTTTCCCCCCTAATTTTTTACAATAATATTTACACCAGTTGATTTTTCTTTCTCACACAGTTCAGCCATAAGAGACAGAGGATATAATCTAAAATTCACGTAATTTGTCCTCAAGTCAAACTCAATTAGCTGAAAGCCTGAAAATTATATTTAGTTTTTTTTTATTCTTACTCCAAAATGATCAATCGAGCTGCTTAGTGATGTTGGGAACTGAAAATGAAGACAGGAGAACTAACTTGATGCAGGTTAGATTGAGCCAGTAGGTTCAGGTTGGGTTGCAGAGTAGGACAGGAAGGTCTGTGGACAGGTTGCTTTGGCTTGGATGGAGACCTCAGACTCTGCTTTGGCACTGGGTTCATGTGGTCCACTGAATCAACTGTTTTTTTTAGTTCTGGTTCTTTCGCTCTCTCTCTCTAGATTCGAGAAAGCATGTGTATGTGTGTCCAAGCAGCAGGTGTCGTGGAGTTGACCCCCCTGAGTTCGTAGTTTATATCTGTCACAAAAAAGTGGACTTAGTGAAACAGGAAGCATGAGCTAGAGAGGGGTTAACACAATATGGAGGTACGTTGGTGTGTGTGTGTCAGGAGGATTCTAGACGAAATGGGTCTATAGCTTCGGATTAAGTTCATTCAGGAGACCTGGAGGGGTGGGGGTGATGACGATGCTCTCTCACACACACAGTGCTCAGGTTTGCCAGTGCTCTTTGAATTTGGTCGTGCTTTTTGTTTGGGGGTATGGGGAAGGGGTGGGGTGGAGCAGTTAGAAGATCAGAGGGTCAGAGGGTAGAGGTCAGAGGTCAGGGTTGGATCCACCCACCACACCACTTCTTTCCCAGATCTCCAGACGTATGAGAGGTAAAAGAGGGGACAGGTGAGGGACAGAAGCCCAGGAGAGAGAGGGCTGGGATAACAGCTGTTCAGCACACCTCCTTCCCTGGAGCTCCACTGGGCAGGATGTTGAGCTGTGTGAACTGATCAGAGTGCTCTTTAGCCTTCAGCCTTAGAGCTGCAATACTGGAGGCCCTGCGGTCTGCTGCAGCCGAGGAGGAGGGCGATGGGGAGGAGAAAGGGTCGGAGAGGACCGGGGGAGGGATGGAGGGAGTCTCGATGGGCGGGGCAGGCTGGCGGAGGAGTGCTGCAGTGGTGGGACCACTGGTCAGAGAGCCCATACTGGAGAAGAGCCTGAGAGAGAGAGAGCGAAAGAGAGAGTGAGGGGGGATGAGAGAGGAGAGACTTTTAGACCAGATTGTGAATGGCTTCACCAGGTATTGTAATCACCTGCAGTTTCACACCAGCGCAAATCAATACATAAGGTGATAAGGAGAGGAAGACGCTTTAACCTATTTAGGTACACGTGTTTGGGGTGTGTGTCTGTTTTGGCACCTCAGCTAACAGCTTGTGTATCAACATCACACTCAGCTAATTACTGTCAACACTGAGCAGGCAGAGTGATAATGTGTCTGATACCATGTACAGTGAGGGAAAAAAGTATTTGATCCCCTGCTGATTTTGTACGTTTGCCCACTGACAAAGAAATGATCAGTCTATAATTTTAATGGTAGGTTTATTTGAACAGTGAGAGACAGAATAACAACAACAAAAATCCAGAAAAACGCATGTCAAAAATGTTATAAATTGATTTGCATTTTAATGAGGGAAATAAGTATTTGACCCCCTCTCAATCAGAAAGATTTCTGGCTCCCAGGTGTCTTTTATACAGGTAACGAGCTGAGATTAGGAGCACACTCTTAAAGTGCTCCTAATCTCAGTTTGTTACCTGTATAAAAGACACCTGTCCACAGAAGCAATCAATCAATCAGATTCCAAACTCTCCATCATGGCCAAGACCAAAGAGCTCTCCAAGGATGTCAGGGACAAGATTGTAGACCTACACAAGGCTGGAATGGGCTACAAGACCATCACCAAGCAGCTTGGTGAGAAGGTGACAACAGTTGGTGCGATTATTCGCAAATGGAAGAAACACAAAATAACTTGGCCTGGGGCTCCATGCAAGATCTCACCTCGTGGAGTTGCAATGATCATGAGAACGGTGAGGAATCAGCCCAGAACTACACGGGAGGATCTTGTCAATTAATTCAAGGCAGCTGGGACCATAGTCACCAAGAAAACAATTGGTAACACATTACGCCGTGAAGGACTGAAATCCTGCAGCGCCTGCAAGGTCCCCCTGCTCAAGAAAGCACATATACAGGGCCGTCTGAAGTTTGCCAATGAACATCTGAATGATTCAGAGGAGAACTGGGTGAAAGTGTTGTGGTCAGATGAGACCAAAATCGAGCTCTTTGGCATCAACTCAACTCGCCGTGTTTGGAGGAGGAGGAATGCTGCCTATGACCCCAAGAACACCATCCCCACCGTCAAACATGGAGGTCGAAACATTATGCTTAGGGGATGTTTTTCTGCTAAGGGGACAGGACAACTTCACCGCATCAAAGGGACGATGGACGGGGCCATGTACCGTCAAATCTTCGGTGAGAACCTCCTTCCCTCAGCCAGGGCATTGAAAATGGGTCGTGGATGGGTATTCCAGCATGACAATGACCCAAAACACACGGCCAAGGCAACAAAGGAGTGGCTCAAGAATAAGCACATTAAGGTCCTGGAGTGGCCTAGCCAGTCTCCAGACCTTAATCCCATGGAAAATCTGTGGAGGGAGCTGAAGGTTCGAGTTGCCAAACGTCAGCCTTGAAACCTTAATGACTTGGAGAAGATCTGCAAAGAGGAGTCGAACAAAATCCCTCCTGAGATGTGTGCAAACCTGGTGGCCAACTACAAGAAACGTCTGACCTCTGTGATTGCCAACAAGGGTTTTGTTTTGCCACCAAGTACTAAGTCATGTTTTGCAGAGGGGTCAAATACTTATTTCCCTCATTAAAATGCAAATCAATTTATAACATTTCTGACATGCATTTTTCTGGATTTTGTTGTTGTTATTCTGTCTCTCACTGTTCAAATAAACCTACCATTACAATTATAGACTGATCATGTCTTTGTCAGTGGGCAAACGTACAAAATCAGCAGGGGATCAAATACTTTTTTCCCTCACTGTATATACACAAAAATATTCTCATGAGCAAAACACCCCAAGCAACATTTAAGGGCTGTAAACTAGAACACTTCCATCTTACTGAAACCAACAAAGGGAGACGTCAGGGGAGCCTGCTCTGTCAAATCAAATCAAAGTTTATTGGTGGCGTACACAGATTTTGCAGATGTTATCCCAGGTGCAGTGAAATGCTTGTGCTCCAACAGTGCAGTAATACAATATCAATACAAAACAATACACACATAATCCAACAAGTTAAAAACTAAATTAAGAAATATCAGAACGAGCAATGTCAGTCAGGAATATAAAAAAATATATATATATATAATGGTGTGTATAGACAGTACATGATTAGAGAAGGTGTGTACAGCAGTAGTTATATAGGATGAGCCTTGACTAGAATACAGTATATACATACAGTGGGGAAAAAAAGTATTTAGTCAGCCACGAATTGTGCAAGTTCTCCCACTTAAAAAGATGAGAGAGGCCTGTAATTTTCATCATAGGTACACGTCAACTATGACAGACAAAATGAGAAAAAATGCCAGAAAATCACATTGTAGGATTTTTAATGAATTTATTTGCAAATTATGGTGGAAAATAAGTATTTGGTCAATAACAAAAGATTCTCAATACTTTGTTATATACACTTTGTTGGCAGTGACACAGGTCAAACGTTTTCTGTAAGTCTTCACAAGGTTTTCACACACTGTTGCTGGTATTTTGGCCCATTCCTCCATGCAGATCTCCTCTAGAGCAGTGATGTTTTGGGGCTGTCGCTGGGCAACACGGATTTTCAACTCCCTCCAAAGATTTTCTTTGGGGTTGAGATCTGGAGACTGGCTAGGCCACTCCAGGACCTTGAAATGCTTCTTACGAAGCCACTCCTTCATTGCCCGGGCGGTGTGTTTGGGATCATTGTCATGCTGAAAGACCCAGCTACGTTTCATCTTCAATGCCCTTGCTGATGGAAGGAGGTTTTCACTCAAAATCTCACGATACATGGCCCCATTCATTCTTTCCTTTACACGGATCAGTCGTCCTGGTCCCTTTGCAGAAAAACAGCCCCAAAGCATGATGTTTCCACCCCCATGCTTCACAGTAGGTATGGTGTTCTTTGGATGCAACTCAGCATTCTTTGTCCTCCAAACACGACGAGTTGAGTTTTTACCAAAAAGTTATATTTTGGTTTCATCTGACCATATGACATTCTCCCAATCCTCTTCTGGATCATCCAAATGCACTCTAGCAAACTTCAGACGGGTCTGGACATGTACTGGCTTAAGCAGGGGGACACAGCAGGATTTGAGTCCCTGGCGGCGTAGTATGTTACTGATGGTAGGCTTTGTTACTTTGGTCCCAGCTCTCTGCAGGTCATTCACTAGGTCCCCCCGTGTGGTTCTGGGATTTTTGCTCACCGTTCTTGTGATCATTTTGACCCCACGGGGTGAGATCTTGCATGGAGCCCCAGATCGAGGGAGATTATCAGTGGTGTTGTATGTCTTCCATTTCCTAATAATTGCTCCCACAGTTGATTTCTTCAAACCAAGCTGCTTACCTATTGCAGATTCAGTCTTCCCAGCCTGGTGCAGGTCTACAATTTTGTTTCTGGTGTCCTTTGACAGCTCTTTGGTCTTGGCCATAGTGGAGTTTGGAGTGTGACTGTTTGAGGTTGTGGACAGGTGTCTTTTATACTGATAACAAGTTCAAACAGGTGCCATTAATACAGGTAACGAGGGGAGGACAGAGGAGCCTCTTTAAGAAGAAGTTACAGGTCTGTGAGAGCCAGAAATCTTGCTTGTTTGTAGGTGACCAAATACTTATTTTCCACCATAATTTGCAAATAAATTCATTAAAAATCCTACAATGTGATTTTCTGGATTTTATTTTCTCAATTTGTCTGTCATAGTTGACGTGTACCTATGATGAAAATTACAGGCATCTCTCATCTTTTTAAATGGGAGAACTTGCAAAATTGGTGGCTGACTAAATACTTTTTTTCCCCACTGTATAAAGTGGGTAAAACAGTATGTAAACATTATTAAAGTGACTAGAATACAGTATATACAGTGCCTTCAGAAAGTATTCACACCCCTTGACTTTTTCCACATTTTGTTGTGTTGCAGCTTGAATTTAAACACACAGTACCCCCAATAGTGTCAAAGGCGAATTATGTTTTTCTAAATGTTTACAAATCAATAAAAAATGAAAAGCTGAAATGTTTTGAGTCAATAAGTATTCAACCACTTTGTTATGGCAAGCCTAAATAAGTTCAGGAGTAAAATTGTGTTAACAAGTCACATAAGTTGCACAGACTCACTCTGTGTGCAATAATAATGTTTAACATGATTTTTGAATGACTACTTCATCTCTGTACCCCACACATACAATTATAAGGTCCCTCAGTCGAGCAGTGAATTTCAAACACAGATTCAACCACAAACACCAGGGAGGTTTTCCAATGCCTTGCAAAGAAGGGAACCTTTTGGTAGATGGGTAAAAATCAAATAAAGCAGACATTGAATATCCCTTTGAGCATGGTGAAGTTATTAATTACACTTTGGATGGTGTATCAATACACCCAGTCACTACAAAGATACAGGCATCCTTCCTAACTCAGTTGCCGGAGAGGAAGGAAACCGCTCCGCGATTTCACCATGAGGACAATGGTGACTTTAAAACAGTTAAAGAGTTGAATGGCTGTGGTAGGAGAAAACCGAGGATGGATCAACAACATTGTAGTTACTCCACAATACTAACCTAATTGACAGAGTGAACATAAGGATAGCTATTAGTCCAAAACATGCATACTGTTTGCAACAAGGCACTAAAGTAATACTGCAAAAAATGTGGCAAAGCAATTCACTTTTTGTCCTGAATACAAAGTGTTATGTTTGGGGCAATATAACACACAACTGTGTATCACTCTCCATATTTTCAAGCATAGTGGTGGCTGCATCATGTTATGGGTATGCTTGTAATTGATAAGGACTGGGGAGTTTTTCAGGATTTAAAAAAACGGAATGGAGCTAAGCACAGGCAAAATCCTAGAGGAAAAACCTGGTTCAGTCTACTTTCCACCATACACTGGGAGACTAATTCACATTTCAGTAGTGCAATAACCTAAAACACAAAGCCAAATCTACACTGTAGTTGCTTACCAAGAAGACAGGGAATGTTCCAGAGTGGCCGAGTTACAGTTTTGACTTAAATCTGCTTGAAAATCTATGGAAAGATCTGAAAATGGTTTTGAATTCAACCTGTAACACAACAAAATGTGGAATAAGTCAAGGGGTATGAATACTTTCTGAAGGCACTGTACATATAAAGTGGGTAAAACATTATTAAACTGACCAGTGTTCAATGACTCTATGTACATAGGGCAGCAGTCTCTAAGGTGCAGGGTAGAGTACCGGGTGGTAGCCGGCTAGTAACTGAATAAGGTTCAGGGCAGGGTACTGGGCGGAGGCCGGCTATTGGTACTGTTTAACAGTCTGATGGCCTGGAGATAGAAGCTGTTTATCAGTCTCTCAGTCCGAGCTTTGATGCACCTGTACTGTCTCCGCCATCTAGATGGTAACTGGGTGAACAGGCCGTCGCTCGGGTGGCTGAGGTCTTTGATGATCTGCTTGGCCTTCCTGTGACATCGGGTGCTGTAGATGTCCTGGAGGGCAGGCAGTGTGCCCCCGGTGATACGTTAGGCTGACCGCACCATCTTCTGGAGAGCCCTACGCTTGCGGGCGGTGCAGTTGCCGTACCAGGCGGTGATGCAGCCTAACAGAATGCTCTCGATGGTGCGTCTGTAGAAGTTTGTGAGGGTCTTAGGGGCCAAGCCGAATTTCTTCAGCCTTCTTCAGCACGCTGCCGGTGTGGAGGGACCATTTCAGGTCCTCAGCAGGGTACGATACTGCAACCAAAACAGTCGCATTTGCGACCGTTTGACTTGGCAGTGCAACACATTTTTTATTGGTTGCAAGGGTGCCAGTGAAATTGTTTTACCTGGTCACATTAGTTTCACAATTTTCGTAAAAAAATTTTGTATCAGGATTTATTCCAATGGTAATGTGCAATTGACCAAAAATAAACAAACTCGTTTAATTTTTTCAAATTCTGCCCTCTAGAGGATTTAGCAGAAAATAACACGTTGCACTTTGAAATCTGCATAAGTAGATTTTGCACATTATTTTAATAGTCTCTTTTCTTTGCTGTTACAGTAAATCTGTCAAAATCAATGTAAGAACACAAGGGCATGCTAATTTAAAAGATGGCTAGTCATTATTAGCCTGGTTCTGTATGGAATGGAGCCACATTATGGGACATAGGCCAGGTCATTATCAATGATCTTCTTTTTTTTTTTATAAGTAAATGTGTGCGACCAAATCATGTGCTGGTGCCACCAGTGGGAAAACTTAGTGTAGAACCCTGCCTCAGTGATGTGCACGCTGACGAACTTGAAGCTTTTGACCCTTTCCACTGCGGCCACGTTGATGTGGATGGGGGCGTGCTCTCTCTGCTGTCTCCTGAAGTCCACCATCAGCTCCTTCATTTTGTTGACATTGAGGGAGAGGTTATTTTCCTGGCACCTCCGCCAGCGCTTTCACCTCCTCCCTGTAGGCTGTCTCGTCGTTGTTGGTAATCAGGCCTACCACTGTTGTGTCATCTGCAAAGTTGATGATTGAGTTTGAGGAGTGCGTGGCCAAGCAGTCATGGGTGAACAGGGAGTACAGGAGGGGGCTGAGCATGCACCTTTGTGGGGCCCCGTGTTGAGGATCAGCATGGTGGAGGTGTTGTTGCCTACCTTCACCACCTGGGGGCGGCCCGTCAGGAAGTCCAGGACCCAGTTGCACAGGGCAGGGTTCAGACCCAGGGCCCTGAGCTTAGTGATGAGCTTGGAGGGCACTATGGTGTTGAAGGCTGAGCTGTAGCCGATGAACAGCATTCTTACATAGGTACACAGTCCTCGTGAGCAGCGGGGGACTGCGTCAGTGGCTCTATGTTGTTTTCCTCAAAGTGGTATAGTAAGGATGATGATGGATGCTGATGGTCACAGGTGTGAGGTGGTGTTATAGGTAGAGGACAGTACACGTGTGAGGTGGTGTGTTAGGTAGAGGACAGTACAGGTGTGAGGTGGTGTGTTAGGTAGAGGACAGTACAGGTGTGAGGTGGTGTGTTAGGTAGAAGACAGTACAGGTGTGAGGTGGTGTGTTAGGTAGAGGACAGTACAGGTGTGAGGTGGTGTGTTAGGTAGAAGACAGTACAGGTGTGAGGTGGTGTTATAGGTAGAGGACAGTACAGGTGTGAGGTGGAGTTATAGGTAGAGGACAGTACAGGTGTGAGGTGGTGTGTTAGGTAGAAGACAGTACAGGTGTGAGGTGGTGTGTTAGGTAGAGGACAGTACAGGTGTGAGGTGGAGTTATAGGTAGAAGACAGTACAGGTGTGAGGTGGTGTGTTAGGTAGAGGACAGTACAGGTGTGAGGTGGTGTTATAGGTAGAGGACAGTACAGGTGTGAGGTGGAGTTATAGGTAGAGGACAGTACAGGTGTGAGTTGGTGTGTTAGGTAGAAGACAGTACAGGTGTGAGGTGGTGTGTTAGGTAGAGGACAGTACAGGTGTGAGGTGGAGTTATAGGTAGAAGACAGTACAGGTGTGAGGTGGTGTGTTAGGTAGAAGACAGTACAGGTGTGAGGTGGTGTGTTAGGTAGAGGACAGTACAGGTGTGAGGTGTGTGTTAGGTAGAGGACAGTACAGGTGTGAAGTGGAGTTATAGGTAGAAGACAGTACAGGTGTGAGGTGGTGTGTTAGGTAGAGGACAGTACAGGTGTGAGGTGGTGTGTTAGGTAGAAGACAGTACAGGTGTGAGGTGGTGTGTTAGGTAGAAGACAGTACAGGTGTGAGGTGGTGTGTTAGGTAGAAGACAGTACAGGTGTGAGGTGGTGTGTTAGGTAGAGGACAGTACAGGTGTGAGGTGGAGTTATAGGTAGAAGACAGTACAGGTGTGAGGTGGAGTTATAGGTAGAGGACAGTACAGGTGTGAGGTGGTATGTTAGGTAGAAGACAGTACAGGTGTGAGGTGGTATGTTAGGTAGAAGACAGTACAGGTGTGAGGTGGTGTGTTAGGTAGAAGACAGTACAGGTGTGAGGTGGTGTGTTAGGTAGAAGACAGTACAGGTGTGAGGTGGTGTGTTAGGTAGAGGACAGTACAGGTGTGAGGTGGTGTGTTAGGTAGAGGACAGTACAGGTGTGAGGTGGTGTGTTAGGTAGAAGACAGTACAGGTGTGAGGTGGTGTGTTAGGTAGAAGACAGTACAGGTGTGAGGTGGTGTGTTAGGTAGAGGACAGTACAGGTGTGAGGTGGTGTGTTAGGTAGAAGACAGTACAGGTGTGAGGTGGTGTGTTAGGTAGAGGACAAGTACAGGTGTGAGGTGGTGTGTTAGGTAGAGGACAGTACAGGTGTGAGGTGGTGTTATAGGTAGAGTATAATTCCTGGTGACCTGGATGGAATTATGTGATCCTTCCTTAAGCCATAGGAAGCCCCACCCAATTATTATTATTATAAATGGTGAAAGTCCTCAATGGCGCTGCCCATGCTAAAACTGGCTTTTGGGTACTAGAGTCCTCTGTCTATATCTATGGGTATACAGGGTTATGTAAGTAGAGGTACCTATTATCTCACCTGCTGAAGGTGGGCCCGATGAAGGTGGGGTGACGGAACATGGCGGCTGTACCCAGGAATGTTCCAAGGCCCAGCGGTGTCCCTAGGTGCTGGCCCGAGTGGTTGCTACGGTGAGGAGCTAGACCAGGAAATGCGGCGGTCCAGGCAGACTCCAGGGCGGGGTGGGGGTGTGGGGAGAAGGGACCCCCATCCAGATAGTGGCTGAGGGGGTGGGTGGCCGAAAGGGGGCCGGGGAAAGGGAGGCCAGAGGGGTGTGTCTGGACACCTGCCTTCTCACGCTTACGCCACTTAGCACGACGATTCTGAAACCACACCTGGATAGAGAGTGGGAGAGAGGTCAGAGGTTAGATAGAACATATAGGCTACATTTAACTATGTAGGTTTAGTTAGATTTGGCTCCTGAGTGGCGGAGTGGTCTAAGGCACTGCATCGCAGTGCTAACTGTGCCACTAGAGATCCTGGTTCGAATCCAGGCTCTGTCGCAGCCGGCCGCGACCAGGAGACTCATGGGCGGCGCACAATTGGCCCAGGGTAGGGGAGGGAATGGCCGGCAGGGATGTAGCTCAGTTGATAGAGCATGGCGTTTGCAACGCTTGGGTTGCAGGTTCGATTCCCACGGGGGGCCAGTATAAAAAAAGATGTATTCACTAACTGTAAGTCGCTCTGGATAAGAGCGTCTGCTAAATGACTAAAATGTAAAATGTAAAAAAATTGAGTGAATAGCATAGAATACACTGTAAACCTTTTCCTTGTAAATTTACAGCATTATACTGGCGCCAGAGTTGCCAGCTTAATACTGTAATTTTGCTTTACAGTGCAGTTTATTAGGTATTTGTATTTGTATTTATTAGGTACACCACCCCGTTCACGAAAATGGATCGCTGCTACAGACAGTGAGTCACTTGGCCCTTTCTGGTTTGCAAGAACTTGAACTAATGCTCTTGTGGCTGAATGGAAGCAAGTCCCCGCAGCAATGTTCCAACATCTAGTGGAAAGCCTTCCCAGAAGAGTGGAGGCTGTTATAGCAGCAAAGGGGGGACCAACTCCATATCTATGCCCGTGATTTTGGAATGAGATGTTCGACGAGCATGTGTCCATATACTTTTGGCCATGTAGCGTATATAGTGACATACTGTTTGGAATGCAGGGAAACCCTCTGACAGACTGGGCCTGCTCCAGCGCAAGCTCCTGTGTAAACGGAAGATCCCATCCTCCAGTTGATGAGGTGACAAACAGGCGGAAAGTCAGCGGTAATTACACGTGCACTAAAACCCGCGCGCCCTCACGGTCATTTGGTTTAAAGTTAGCTAATTAAAATCCGTTCCCCCTGCAGTCTAACAGAGACTGAGATCGGTGTGGCGCACGATAATTAAGAATGGTGTTCACAAAAGGTGAGGAGAATGAAGGCTGAACAGAGTCCAATAACAATTAGACTAATGCGCTTTAAATTAAATTCTTCAAAATGTAGAACAAGTCATTTCCAAAGACTATTTAACTTTCCCACGCCCTCCCCCCTTGCCTAGTGTGAAACAGGGGCTCTACAATTGGAGAAAATGTAAACAGTAAGAGAAAGTGAACGATATTAGCCCTGCACACACACACGCACGCGCTATTTCCGTTGAAAGCCGTTTAGCGTTACGTGGCCCCTCGGGAATTTTATGAGTTTTTATCACCTCCCGATGCACCCATTAAGTGCCTTGTTCACCGACGGTTCTGCGAGGGGACATCTGTTGTTTTATACCGGCTATCACCCTGGACGGAGCATCGCCGTGTTTGAACTGTCTCTTTGGTTATGAGCCCCGGGCTAAGTCATGCAAGCCACGCTCTCAATGGAGAGATGGAATAAGAGAGAGAGAGAGGGGGAGGGGGGAGGGGGGGGGGGGGGGGGGGGGGGGGGGAGGAGGAGCAAACACCTTTAATGGTCTCTCTCATTGGCTCCAAGTGCAAAGCATCGGTTCAATGCGTCTCTATTGCAATCACAAAATGGGAAATCAAATAGCATTATCCCAGCCACCCTACTCCCCTCTCCTCTCTCTCTCCATCTCCCCCCCCCTCCCTCCCTCCCTTTCTCTCACTCCCTCCTCACCTCTTATACCTCCTCTTTCTCTCTCATTTTCACTCTCTCTTACTCTCCCTCTCCCCTCTCTCATTCCGGCAATGGGAATTCAAACACCATTTTCTCCCTGAGAATAGCCCATGTTTGCTCTCACGCTAAGTGCACATTTATGAATCCTCCGCATCCGCTTAATTGCCGTTAAAACGTCCCTTGGGGCATGTAATAACTTCCAATAACAGGAAGGAGATTCGCTACGCAGCGATTGGGATCATTTAACACATCTCGGGGTAATAAATCACTCAGACTCTGATAAATACTTTTCTCCGGCTACTGTCTGGAAAGGCCTGAATTGTTGCCTGGTTTGGTGTATGCATCATGTCAACAAAAAAATATAAATAATAACGTAAGCATATTGGAAATAAAAATAATGATAGACTTTGTTAAATTATTATTCTATAGCCTATGAAGGTGTGTAAATCTGAAGATGCTTTGAAATTATGCTAGGCCTACATTGTATAAATATGCATTGGATGTTTTATTGTAATTAATATAACATGAACTAGAATAGCCTAATAAGAAATTGGGAATTATTTCATTACATCTTAATCTAAGTGGTACTGGCCTTTATTATTCTTTACTAATTTGGTAGAATATATATTTCAATTACTCATTTGAAATGTGTAAGTGTTAAGTCGTTTTAGTTGAAAGCGACAGACAGCCATAATTGCAGCAATAAAACGTTAAAAGGCCACTTACTTGCACGCGCGCCTCGGTCAGATCCAGCCGCATCGCAAGCTCCTCTCTGAAAAGGCAGGAAAAGAGGTTACCTTTTGTGACCGAGAACTGGGCTGTTTTTTTTTCTCTCCTACCCGCACCGGTAACAATACAAGAAAAGTGTTATTTTTCAGACACGGAAAACCCACAGCGAAATGAAGGTCCTTTGTGCTATTTTCCCTGCGAAGGTTTTGAGAGAAATTGTCAGGGTGATTGTATTGTAATCTCTCCTTTCTTCGCCATAATAGCTCCCTTATACAACGGCTTTTCTTTAGAGTCAGTGGAAATAATGCCATCCAAACTATTACAAAGCCATCGAGTGCTTGGCTGAAAGAGAAGTCTATAGGCTGCACAAATTGATTACCACAATAGTCGCCTTAAAAATAATGAACGCACATCGATACAAAAACATCGATCAACAATAGCCTATGTATTATTTGGTTCATGATGCCAGTGTTAAATAATATTTGTAAAATTAATTACCCCGTTGTTTAAAACGTCATATATTATATTCACTATCTTAAATGTGTCCTGTAGATGATTTACTTTGCTGAAAGCGATAAGGCTAACAGAATCCACAAGTCTGTCTGATGCATATATATATATATATATATATATATATATATATGCATGGAAAATAATTGTGTATGACATTCTGAATCCTGTTGTAAATTCACTTCTGCATTGTAATATTCCATTTTGTAGATGTCATATTCCATTTTGTAATACTAATATTCCATACTGTAATAGTAAAATATAATAAAATTATAAGAGAAATGTAATCTCAAGTCTAAATATTCAAATCGACATGTGCAGGGGGTCCTGAAATCGTATAGGCTAGACAAATAGATTTGTTTTTCGAATAATATTAGGCTTTCATGTTTGGTTGAAAAAAATACTTATATTTGAAATTCTCCTCTATACATTTTGTAGCCTAAATTGCATCAAAAATAAATAGCACCAACTCATTTCTTAAAAATGTCCACATAAAAAACTTATCTAGACCTGCCTTAGCAGTGACTCACTCACAGTTCTTCATAAAGCTTCATTCACAAAAATGATTTGCCTTTGCATGAAAGCCAGTAACAGGTGGATTTGCGTGGACTGATATAGTGTTCTTTCTCATTTCCCTCCTACACCAGCTAATGGATGAAACAAAGGAGTTGAGGTGCGCGTCACCGTGCGTGTGTGTGCGTGCGTGTGTTACACCCTTGAGCTTGTGCAGGCCCAGAAACCAAATTTGCGTTGAATAGAACAGCATTATGCACAAGGTAAATCGAGCTGCAACCAATTTATTTTCCCTATGAGAATAATATCCATATCGCCAATAACAATGAGACGATGTAAATGTGACAAAACGGGTTGGTGTTCCCACTTCGAGCTGGTTTGGGCTCGGCTACATTTTACATTTTAGTCATTTAGCAGACGCTCTTATCGCGACTTACAGTTAGTGAGTGCATACATATATTTTTTCATACCGGTCCCCCGTGGGAATCGAACCCACAACCCTGGCATTGCAAGCGCCATGCTCTACATTACATTACATTTTAGTCATTTAGCAGACGCTCTTATCCAGAGCGACTTACAGGAGCAATTAGGGTTAAGTGCCTTGCTCAAGGGCACATTAACGTCATTTAGCAGACGCTCTTAGCCAGAGCGACTCACAAATTGGTGCGTTCACCCTATAGCCAGTGGGATAACCACTTAACAATTGGGGGGGGGGGGGGGGGTAGAAGGATTCCTTTATCCTATCCCAGGTATTCCTTAAAGACAACTGAGCTACACGGTATAGCTGTCAATGCGCCAGTGTCAAATTATAGACCGGCTGAATGACATTATAAGTGGATAAACAATTGACTGTTTTCTACTTTAAAAATAAATAAATAAACCTAACATAAATGGTATGATGATAAAGGGTTTTTAATGTTGTTACCCCAGACATATCTAGATTAAAATATGCATCAGAAATTAGAACTTGTAGGCCAGGCCTATGCATGTTTGACCTCATGTCCAACACAATCTCACACTCAATTCGTACAAATTTGTACAAAATGTCATATACACCAGATTTGTGACATTCTTTCATAATTTTCGGAGTTATTTGTTTGCCTCTGGTATTTGTATCTCAGTCTCTGTAAAGATAAAATAATGTTATTTTTACTAACTTGAATTATTATTATTATTATATCCATTATTATTATTTCTACAGCCTACTGCTACTTGTTGTTCGTTTATGTAGAGTACAACTAATGTAGCGTAGACTTCAGGAAAAATTGTAAGGTGAAATAGAAATATCTATCCAGAACGTGTATTTAACGAATTTTTATGAGACTTGGTTGGGTTACGTTGTTGTAGGAATGTTAATTGAACGATGTTGTTAATATTAGACACGTTGCATATGAATAATTGAGTTTGTGCTGTAGCCTGGGTGCCAGATCTGTTTCTGTTCTCTTGCCCACTCCTACCTGTTTGGCTTGACAATGACAATGGAGTAGGCAAAAACACAAACAGATCTGGGACTGTAACTGTACCTGGTGAAGACGTCGGGGTAGTGCGTCTTCTGGAAAGCTCTCTCCAGCTCCTCCAGCTGGTAGCTGGTGAATGTAGTCCTGTATCTTCTTTGCTTGCGTTTTAGCATCCCTTCGTCCGAGTCACTGCCTGCCGACAGACACAAGCTGTCCTCCCCGTCCCGCACATCTCCATCCCCTGCATGGAGGCTCTCCCTCTCCTCGTCCTTCCGGGAGAGACCCATCGCCTCCCCGCAGCTCTCCTCCTCTTTCGCCGCGTCCTCGAACTTCATTGGCCCTGACTCGCCCAGCCTCAGCCCATCCTCCGGCCCTCCAGCGGGGCTCTGGCCTCCCTCTCCTTGGCTTAGGGACGCGTTCTCCCGGTATGACTTGCTGCGGCTGATGCTCACCTGTGGAGCCTGGTTGATTTTGAGGCTCTCGCAGGCTTGGTCCACCAGAAGCCTCTCCCTATCCAATTTCTCCTCGAGGTCGTGAACTAAACCCCGGCCGTGGTTCAGGTACTTCGCCCCTGGTCCGTAGAGCCGGCGCAGCTTTGGTGGAAGGTGCATGTCTGTGTCTAGTGATAGGGGGTCTTTAGTTGAGCCTATGGGGAGGGTGACAGAAGTATGGATAGGTTGAAGCGACATGTGTAACGAAAAAACTAAAGGCTAATGGAGTGCAACAAGGCGCATAGTTCAACGCAAAGCTTCGCACAAGGCATCATCGATAATGTTCGAATAGACTTGAAGATGTATTATTTCTGCACCTTAGAGGATGTGTATCTATCGGATCGACGATAAAGTTGACTTTTGGTCTCTGAAAAAGTGCTTAAAAGGGACATATCCTATTTTCAACACAGTCACACTTTTGGTTCTGATGGACCACTATTTGCTAACTTTTACTTCCATTCTGCAATCAGCCCAATGCTGTTGATGGGTCATTATCATGTTATAGGCACACACCGTCTTGCCTGTATTCAACACCAAAACGTTTTCCCGGATCATGCAGCAAACCTTTCCCCAGATGGAAAGCCATGCATGTTTTCATGAGCTTTTCGCGGTGCTTGACTTACCTTCGGTCTGCTTGTCGTGCTCCCGTCTCCCGGGTAGAGCTGTCAAACTTTGTGCCCCTATCACCCTGACTTTACAGGGGCTCCGTCGGCCCAGAATACTGTCTATACAGTAGGAGGAGAGCAGAGTGGGGGGTTTACTCGTACATTCTCCCCGGTCGTGGATATCTTCTTCGAACTGACTAGTCATTTTGATCCGTTTAGTGAAGCGCTTATTTGAAAGGAGAACGGCAGTAGCCTAAATGTGTTTCTCACTCGCTCACTCACCCCCTCTCTCTCGCTCTCTCTTTTCTTCTCTCTCTCTCTCTCTCTCTGTCGTTCCGAGATCGTTCCTCTCTCTCACTCGCTCTCCCTCTCCCTACCCAACCTTTAATGACAGACACCGTTGGCTGGCACTCAAGCTCCGCTATCTGATTGCTCGCATTGACGTGTGTTATAGCGCCCCTGATTGGCTCGTGTGGGGGAAAGAGCCGCTTAATATATTTTAGTATATTAAGGTAATTTTGGAGAAACCGGGATGGAACCCTGCTCCCATGGACTGAACTCATTTTGGATTTTCCTTTTGGATTTCAAAAGGATAGTAGGCTTTGCATGTATGGCCTATAAATACTAGACTGCTAATAATAAATAATAATAATATTGATAACAACAACAATAATAAAAATAATAATAGCGTAATAATAATAAATACAATGTTTTGAAATATGGATTATTTTGTTGAGTTAAATAATCATGCATCATAATTCAGCCCTTCAGTTAAGTGGAACCCGTTTGGCAATCTCAAATCTAGTCCATAGTTTACTGTGAGCTTTTTTCTATACATCTGTAAACTCCAGGGAGCATTTTCTATACATCTGTAAACTTCAGGGAGCATTTTCTATACATCTGTAAACTTCAGGGAGCCTTTTCTATACATCTGTAAACTTCAGCACCCTCATCGTATACTACTTTAACTCCATCAAGTCCTCGGATCAATATCTAATAACAAGAGAAAATACATATAACCCAGATGTATTTGTATTTATTTGTGTTTATTATGGATCACCATTAGCTGCTGCCAAGGCAGCAAACCTTTCCCCAGATGGCAGCAGCTACTCTTCCTGGAGCCCAGCAAAATGAAGGCGGTTATACCATTTTAAAAAATTGTATAAAATATTTCACAACACACTGTGTGCCCTCAGGCCCCTACTCCACCACTACCACATATCTACAATACAAAATCCATGTGTACGTGTGTATAGTGCGTATGTTATCGTGTGTGTATGCATGTGTCTGTGCCTATGTATGTAATCTTATTCCGAATAATAGTGACACATTTTATCCCGTATATAAGGATGAATGTAAACTAAGAGTTTAATGTTGTGTATTCCCATGACAACTGGAAGAAAAAAAACACGGGACAAACTATAGATGTTCTGTAATAGAATAAGGCTTTTTACAGAATGTCTTTTTATAGGACTAAACTATCCCCTTCAACGAATAATTGCCTTAGATTAGCTGTAAATAGGACCAAACGATCACTGCAATAACTACCAGAATTATCATAACAATTTGATAATTTGATTGCTATTGATTTACCCCAAAACGCTCTCAAAGACTTCTGTAAGCCCTGTCACCTTCCATCTCTCGCTCTCCACAAACACACGCACGCACGCACGCACGCACGCACACACACACACACACACACACACACACACACACACACACACACACACACACACACACACACACTGCAACAGGCGAACACGGAACACTAATTGCCTGGCTCTCTGGCAATTGCAGAGACGTTCAGATGGTCCGTGCGCCGGATGATTGACTTAAAAAGTGAAGGTGGCGATGATGAGAAGGCGCGTTGGGAGCCGGGACGCCATGCAGGCTCGCTCCAGAGAGGAGCAGATGGCTCGAGAATGTAATTTTAAATGAAAGTCTATTTAACCTGCTGCGAATGGCGTGACCCCATCCTTCGCCTCGCGAGCCCATCACTGTTAAAAGGTTCATTTTCAGAATTCAATCCCAAAACTTCAACAAGCTGCAATTTACACTTTCGTCTGATGCTGCTTTTCTCCCTTTATATGGCTGCCCAGTTACTAAGACTCAGCAGAACATGAAAAATAACAATAAAACATAACTTCACAAATGTTTCAAAACGTTTTAAAAGTGACAGGCTATAGTTTGAGCTCTCGGTCATGGATTTCCAAGAACGGCATTGATCTTTCGTGAAAATAAAAGGAATGTGGTTCTCTGTTTAGGGCGCCAGGGTGATCGATCAAGATTAACGTCGAAATTGGACGTCTATCCATGTCCTGAGGACTTCGGGAAATTAGCTCTATTGCCATCAAGTAGGCTTGGGTTTTGCTAGAATGGTGTGGACCGGGATGGCTGATGGGCGTAATCACATGTCTCTGGTTCAGAAGTTTACATGTTCAACCCTGGTGGACAATCCTTGTTCCATCCCAAACCTTAACCATTACCTTAACCATTCGGAATGAGTTCCTAAACATAATATTTTAACCCTATCCCAAACCTTAACCATTAACTTAACCATTCGGAATGAGTTTCTAAACATAATGTTTTAACCCTATCCCAAACCTTAACCATTAACTTGACCATTCGGAATGAGTTCCTAAACATAATATTTTAACCCTATCCCAAACCTTAACCATTACCTTAACCATTCGGAATGAGTTCCTAAACATAATCTTTTAACCCTATCCCAAACCTTAACCATTAACTTAACCATTCGGAATGAGTTCCTAAACATAATGTTTTAACCCTATCCCAAACCTTAACCATTACCTTAACCATTCGGAATGAGTTCCTAAACTTAACCCTTAACTTCTAAATTTGATGTTTGGAGAAATGGAACGCTAAGGAGCAGCAGGAGCAACACACACTTTGAAATGTCTAATTCTGCAGTGATACTGTGAGAGCATGTTGAGGACGCACGGTAGATCCATGGGCAAGGTTGCCCAAGACTCAGTTCTGTCATAAGACAATCTTCACTAGGCTATATTGAATTCATTGAATTGAATACAATTCAGGATTACATTATTTGTAGGCCTAATCTTAGGCTATTTCAAAACGATTCAATCATCTTGGTGCAAATTGCAGGCAGCATATTATTAATTCATTCTTATCAGGCCTCTGACGCGTGGCCGTAACCAAAGGGGTCTAGCCAAATGCCCCTTACTTACAATTAGGCTACCAACAATTCACCGCGTTTGTTGAATCAGAAACTCCTGGCCTCGTTTTCTGCTCTCAGATCAAAACAGTAATGAGATTTAATAACAATATAAAATGTTCTGTTTTTTCTCCTGCGCGTCACAAACAGATGCTCGTAATACAGACGGGTATTTAGGGTTGCTATGTAATTTGGGGGGCAAAATTTGATTCATTTATCCGCGCTCTGTTATTAACCCGTGAAAAGAGAGATGTCAGTCGCCATTTGAGCCAGCAGGACATCCGCGATTTGTTTAAACGCACTAATTACGCCAGCACACATTAGCGAGGGAAGAAATAAAGCGCAATTTTCACCTTTACAATTTTCCCTCCTTTAAGCGCGTCGCATGCGGGTTGCAGAAGTTGGGGGAGGAGCGGAGGCAGTGCCCGACGGTGGCTCGTGCTCTTTCCGTTCCTCCATCACAGTGTCGTTGTATTTTCATAACACCCTAACTTGATCATTTCTACACCCCCATGCACTTGTCAATTGTGTTGTTTTACAGTTATAGTCCCAATTGGAATTCGTACAGGTGTAGCCAAAAGTGCAACACAATACAATGAGGGAAAAAAGTATTTGATCCCCTGCTGATTTTGTACGTTTGCCCACTGACAAAGACATGATCAGTCTATAATTTTAATGGTAGGTTTATTTGAACAGTGAGAGGCAGAATAACAACAAAAAAATCCAGAAAAACGCATGTCAAAAATGTTATAAATTGATTTGCATTTTAATGAGGGAAATAAGTATTTGACCCCTCTGCAAAACATGATTTAGTACTTGGTGGCAAAACCCTTGTTGGCAATCATAGAGGTCAGACGTTTCTTGTAGTTGGCCACCAGGTTTGCACACATCTCAGGAGGGATTTTGTTCTACTCCTCTTTGCAGATCTTCTCCAAGTCATTAAGGTTTCAAGGCTGACGTTTGGCAACTCGAACCTTCAGCTCCCTCCACAGATTTTCTATGGGATTAAGGTCTGGAGACTGGCTAGGCCACTCCAGGACCTTAAAGTGCTTCTTCTTGAGCCACTCTTTTGTTGCCTTGGCCATGTGTTTTGGGTCATTGTCATGCTGGAATACCCATCCACGACCCATTTTCAATGTCCTGGGTGAGGGAAGGAGGTTCTCACCCAAGATTTGACGGTACATGGCCCCGTCCATCATCCCTTTAATGCGGTGAAGTTGTCCTGTCCCCTTAGCAGAAAAACACCCCCAAAGCATAATGTTTCCACCTCCTGTTGATGGTGGGGGTGATGTTCTTGGGGTCATAGGCAGCATTCCTCCTCCTCCAAACAAGGCGAGTTGAGTTGATGCCAAAGAGCTCGATTTTGGTCTCATCTGACCACACTTTCACCCAGTTCTCCTCTGAATCATTCAGCTGTTCATTGGCAAACTTCAGACGGCCCTGTATATGTGCTTTCTTGAGCAGGGGGACGTTGCGGGCGCTGCAGGATTTCAGTCCTTCACGGCGTAGTGTCTTACCAATTGTTTTCTTGGTGACTATGGTCCCAGCTGCCTTGAAATCATTGACAAGATCCTCCCGTGTAGTTCTGGGCTGATTCCTCACCGTTCTCATGATCATTGCAACTCCACGAGGTGAGATCTTGCATGGAGCCCCAGGCCGAGGGAGATTGACAGTTATTTTGTGTTTCTTCCATTTGCGAATAATCACACCAACTGTTGTCACCTTCTCACCAAGCTGATTGGTGATGGTCTTGTAGCCCATTCCAGCCTTGTGTAGGTCTACAATCTTGTCCCTGACATCCTTGGAGAGCTCTTTGGTCTTGGCCATGGTGGAGAGTTTGGAATCTGATTGATTGATTGCTTCTGTGGACAGGTGTCTTTTATACAGGTAACAAGCTGAGATTAGGAGCATTCCCTTTAAGAGTGTGCTCCAGATCTTCTCCAAGTCATTAAGGTTTCGAGGTTTTGAGGCTGACGTTTACCTGTATAAAAGACACCTGGGAGCCAGAA